GCATAGCAACAGTAAATGGGAATACTGACTGAGCTAGGCTCAATGACAAGACGAGGCAATTAGTGAGTGCATGCTCCCATCGAACACGGAAGACTGCAAGCGCTACCTTTACCTTGGGACACGGAACTTTGAATTGCGAGCGGGAAAARWTTACCTATTTGATGTTTAGAAATTGTTGTTTCCCTAGGTGGATGAGAGAATAATAAAACCAATTCAGAGGGAGAGATGTGACACGCAGACTGAAACCTGATCCCTACTGGCCGCCGAGGACCTCGGAGCGGGCGCGGCGAAGTGACAGGCGCCGTAGCCCATGGCTTCAGCGAACAGTAGGTAGCCCCTCCCCGGGTTTCCCGACAGCGAGCAGTACAACACTTTTGCAGAGATCATCAATAAAGCGAGAGAGATCATCAAGACCAACAGGGCAGCTGCACACGAGAAGTCAACGTGGCAGCCAACCTATGTGGAGAAGGTAAGAACTGGTCCGCGACAGCAGCAGTTCGCTGCAGTCCAGTCGGACAGCGGAGAAGACCCAGCAGCCACTCCAGCATCACGTGAGGGAGATCAGGTGGTTGCTGTCCAGCCGCGAAGCAACAACAAGTCCCGGAACAATGGGAAGGCGAAACCAGCATCACAGGCCGGAAATGGACAGCCAACACCGCAATGGGTCAAGTTCGGCTTGACCGAGCCCGAGTACAAGTACCGCGGCCGTTACGACTGATGCTACTGGTGCAACAACACCAAGCACAAGACCTCTCTTTGCCAGGATCAGGCCAAGGAGGATGTGCGACCTCGGCTCAACTCGGGAAACTGAGTTTCGCGGGAGGTGAGGCGACTCCACCCCCCACTCCGCCAGATTCGGCCACCTTGCTAGCGGCCTCCTACACATCTGGGGAGGATGCGAATGTCCCAAGTCCTTGGTACACTTACAAGGATTATGCTGTCCACTTGGTTCCACCGCTGGACCAACCGCTCCACGTGCAACAATCTACCGCATGCACGGTTTCATCACCATCGGCAACCGATTCGGCAGCTTCACCGTCATCCACTGGTGGGGATTCAACGACATGGTCAAGTCTTGAAAAACTCGACCCGTTGACTTTTGAGGACTTCCAATGGATGCCCATGCCCCGATCCGGTCGCTTGCCGAAACCGCATTGCAACGTGCTCAAGGCACAATTGCGAGATTACTTGCACACTGCAGTACCGACTCCGTTGATGGACGCCGGAGTAGAGGTTGTCGACCTTCACGCGTACATTGCAAAGATCGACCTCGAGTTCAATACGCAACGGTACGACGACATAGACGCACCATTGCTATATGTACGCATTCAGATTGGAGAGGCGACCTGCAGCGCTTTGATTGATTGCAGAGCATCTCGCAACTACATGAGTCAGGACTTCATGGTACTCGCCGGTCTTGGCCCACGAGTCCGAAGGAAGTCCCAGCTTACGCAAGTCACATTGGCGGACGGTCACACGCACAAGTCAATCGACCGGTGCATTGATGACGTCCCAATGTACTTTGCCCCTCACGCAAGTGAGGCGGTGTCCTTTGACATTCTGGACACCAAATTCGACATGATCTTGGGCATGTCATGGCTGCGAAGAGAGGACTACCCGGTGAACTTTTACCGCCGCACCGTTCACATTCGTAATGAGAACGGAGTACTAGTCCTATGCACGGTAGCTCCTCCTCACCCTTCAGTTAGTTGTCACGTGGTATCCACCGCAAGCATGCGAGCTTCCATCATCAGAGACGACATCGAGGAGATGGGGGTGTGTTTTCTCCACGCCCTCCCGCCCCAAGACGCGTCATCGACGGACTCACCTTCGGATCCACGCATCACCGAACTTCTCGACCTCTACAGCGACGTGTTCGAAGGCCCGCACGGAGTAGTACCGGATCGGCCCATCCGCCACGAGATCATCCTCGAGGACGGGCCCGTACCTCCACGCGGTTGCATCTATCGAATGAGCGAGGAAGAGTTAAGTGTGCTTCGGGCACAACTCGACGACCTTCTGGAAAAAAGCTGGATTCGGCCTAGCTCATCGCCATACGGTGCTCTCGTTCTCTTCGTCCGGAAGAAGAACAAGGATTTGCGGTTGTGCATCGATTATCGCAAGCTCAACGCGCAGACGATCAGAAACGTCGGCCCTCTCCCATGCATCGACGATCTTCTCGAGCGACTGGGTGGTGCCAAGTTCTTCTCCAAGCTCGATCTCAAGTCGGGATATCACCAACTCAAGATTCGCAAGGAGGATCGCTACAAGACCGCGTTTAAGACGCGATATGGGCATTTCGAATTGCTGGTCATGCCATTTGGCCTTACGAATGCCCCAGCCACTTTCCAAGCGGCTATGACAACGGAGTTCCGACACATGCTGGATCGTTACGTACTTATCTACCTCCACGACATCCTGGTGTACAGCCGGAGTTTGGAGGAGCAAGTGGAACATCTGCGCACCGTTTTGGAGCGGCTACGTCAAGCCAAGTACAAAGCCAACCGCGACAAGTGCGAATTCGCGCGGCAGGAGATGGAGTACTTGGGACACTATGTGACGCCGAAAGGCATCCGTCCGCTTGGGGACAAGATCGAGGCCCTACGAGTATGGCCCGAGCCCACCAACACCACAGACGTTCGTTCATTTAAGGGGTTGGCGAGCTACTATCAGCGATTCATCACTGGATACTCCAGGATTGCTGCACCTATGACGAGGTTACGGTCGCCAAAGGTGCCATTCGTATTCGATGACGACACACGCCGGTCATTCCAAGCACTTAAGACGGCTATGCTTATGGCACCCGTCCTTAAAATATATGACCCCACACATCCGACGAGAGTGACTACGGACGCTTCCGGCTATGGCATTGGGGCAGTCTTGGAACAGCACGATGGCGACGATTGGCACCCTGTGGAGTATTTCAGCCACAAAGTGTCTCCCATCAACTCGCTTAATGATGCAAGGAAGAAGGAGCTGCTCGCATTCGTCGTGGCTCTCAAGCGATGGCGGCACTTCCTCCTTCGGCGTCGTAGGTTCACATGGGTTACGGACAACAATCCATTGACCTACTACAAGACGCAGGATAAGGTGAGCAGCATGATCGGACGATGGATGTACTTCATCGACCAGTTTGACTTCACACCGAAACATCTTCCCGGACTCTCCAATCGCGCAGCAAATGCACTCTCGTGAAGACCCAATCTTTGCGCTATGACACATCATGCCTTCGCATTCGACGAGGAGCTTCAGCGACACTTCATCCGGGCATATGAGTCTGATTCGGACGTCGCCACGCTGTATGCACAGCTATCTTCGGATCACCCGCCGGCCAGCCACTATCGCATTGTCGACAGGTACTTGCTCCTCCACTTGAGAGGCAAGGACTTACTATGTGTCCCACGCGACCGCCGTCTTCGGACCCGCCTCCTCGGTGAGTATCATGATTCACGACTCACCGGCCATTTCGGAGTCAACCGCACTATTGCACGGCTTCGACTGTGATTCCGATGGCCCAACCTCATTACCGATGTCACTCGGTATTGCGACTCTTGCGAAGTTTGCCGATGCAGCAAGCCCCACAACCGCAATCCCTACGGCGAGTTACGCCCGATGCCTAAGCTGGTCTCTCTATTGCCATGGACGTCACCGGTCCGTTTTTCCGCAATCGGCTTGGGCACGACGGCATCCTCACGGTTGTGGACCAATTGAGTAAGTACGGGCGTTTTCTTCCTTGCAAGTACTACTCCACGGCTCCCGAGCTGGCACGCCTCTTGCACACTGGTTGGATTTGTGGCCATGGTGTACCAGAAGACATAGTCAACGACCGCGACACTCGTTTCATGTCAGCATTTTGGACTGCGCTCATGCAGGAGTCCGGCACGACGATGAAACCAAGTTCGGCTCGGCATCCACAGACAGACGGGCAGACGGAACGGGCACATCAAACCGCTCAAATGATGCTTCGTATGCTCATCCGTCCGGACCGGAAAGATTGGGTTGACCGCCTCCCCGAATTCGAGTTTGCCTACAACACTTCGGTGCATCCGGCGATCGGCGTGACTCCATTCGAGTTGCACCACGGTGGACGGAAAGGCCGGATCTTCGCCGACCTTCTCCTCCCTCGAGCAGCCGACATTGATGCTGCCTGCTCTCCTGCTTCCGTCCGGAAGTACAGGGAATTGTTGACTCAAGCCCGCGCGAACATGCAAAAGTCTCAAGTCCGCATGCAGCAGCAAGCCAACAGGCGTCACATACCATGTCCCATCCGCGCCGGTGATCTGGTTTGGGTCTCCAAGGAAGAGTTTGCACTGGAACAGGATGTTTCACGCAAACTGCTTCCCAAGTGGTTTGGACCTTGGTTTGTGACAGCAGCCGTGGGCGATGAGCCCGATGGCCCTTCATTTGTGATCAACATTCTCGAGCACCTGACRGTCCATCCAGTCTTTCACGCCTCGAAGCTGGCAACATATACACCAGCTAAAAACGACGACTTCCCGGGCCGAAGATCGCAGGACCCTCCTTCTATGGATGGTCATCAGGAAGTTGACCGCGTCATCACGGATCGCAAGTACGGCAGCAAGCCGCGCCAGTACAAAGTTACATTCAGAGCATGCGATCCCGACGACACTCGGTGGATTTCAGGAGCAGATTTGAAAGCATCCGCACCGCTGATCTACGCTCACTACGAGCGACAAAGGTTAGCTAAGGAACCTCCACGACCTGCCCCTCCCACCCGGACTGTGGTCCCTCCCTCAGACAGACAGCTTCGCTTCGCCCTCGCAGGTAAGCTCGGTCTTTCAAGGAGGGGGGGGGTGTGGCATACTGCGTAGCCACACGGGCCCTGCAGGGCCCGTCCCGCACTTTCAGCCTAAAAGCCTAAAACTTAGGGCTTACAGGCCCCATCGTTCAGCCTGAAAGCTGAAATACGAGGGTCTGCAGGCCCTTTTCCGTTTCAGCCTATTTCTGGGCCTTTCAGGCCCAGAGTTTTTCCAGCCTGAAACGGAGGGCCTTGTGTTGCTCCGCTAGCATCTGCATGGCCCTGCTCAGATGCGCGCACGGGCCCTGAGGTGAGGGGCGCTGCAAGGGCAACGGGCGCACAACAGCCATAGCCGGGCTGCAGGGGAGCAAGGCAGGTGATGGCAAAGGTGGTCTTTGGGTACGAGACACATGATGTGGGGAGACGAGGGATGATGAGGAGAGAGAGAGAGGACGTACCTGGTGTATGCTGGTGGTCGGCATTGGTGTTCACATCACATACATTGGTCTTCGACTTCGGTGTGAACATATATAGGATAGATAGGCTGAGTAGAGTAGGCTGAGCACTGAGCGCCAGACAGTAGGGGCGACATTGGATACAGTGTTGGGGTGACCACAGAGTGTCGGCATTGGCACTCGAGTTCATTGTATTGCTCTTATTTGGATGGTATCTTGGTGCGTTTGAGCTCTCTGCTTGGTACTTGACTATCTGGTCCGGACTACTTCGTGATTTTGCAACTGGTTTTCTGTCTATTACTCTCGCTCATATTCCTTGCAACTATATCATTCCCCGAGTTTTTGTTTCGATTGCAACATCAAGTCAATCTGTTCCCAAATTTTTGGATTCTCCCTGAAGCTGAAGYCGGGTAATGGGCCCGGTATCATCTTTGTATTCCATTTGCAATAAAAGCCTTGGGCGGGTGGACCCGTTTTCCTGTTTTAACAAAAAACTTGAAAAAAAGAACAATTTCCTATCACGTTATATATTATTTCTAAATAAATGCAATTTTGATCATTGTAATGCTGCAAGGTTCACGGCATATGTGTACATACCCGTTTGCTTTTCAGCACCCGTGCACCTTACATTTTGCCCATTCTCTCAGTGATGCTCATTCATATATGAATTTAGCAGTTCTCCAAGAGCGGAGGGAGGAGGGGATGGGGAGGGAGAAGCTGAGGGATTGGGGGGGGAAGGAGGAGGGGGGAGTGGATGGAAGAGGAGGAGAGTGGAGTGAGGAGAAGAACAGGGGAAAGAGGAACCTCATAGGGTCCTCATTACCCACAGGCAAAGCAGACTGATAGAGACTGGCAAAAAAGGTCAGTTAGTGAATGGGCTGCAGAGAAACATGAGCTGAGGTCCGGGTGCAAACTGTGGGGACACCGCATCCAATTCTCGCAGATGCAGTTGCTGCACTAAATGGCGTGGTGTAGAAATGTCACAGGCAACGTGCCTCCCACATGCTAGGATCTCCTGCCCTGAATGGCGTGGTGTAGACATGTCACAGGCAACGTGCCTCCCACATGCTAGGAACACAGAGGCCCGGTGAGCTCAATTGTATAGGCACTGCAGTTCCAGCCCTGTCTACAAATAGGACATGCCGTCGTTGCCGTGTCAGGGTGTCATTTATGAGAAAAATGCGTAAAATGCTGATTGTCATCATAGGTATAAAAACAAAAACTTGCATAATCCTTACAACACACACGAGAGCCAATCAAATACTAGCTGCACATCGGGTGGCTCATCACAGCGCGGCATTGAGCAAGTTTTTTGGGGTTTCACAGCTCACATTGCCTGTCTATGAGCAGGGGATGACGGGGCATGGTGTTTCATTAAATGGCTATCCCGTATTCTTTAAAAATGACCACCTGGCGAGACTGACTCTCCCTTGGCTATTCGAGTTAGTCTCCCAAGAGGGACGGCGAGTGCTAAACACCTCTCTCTCTCTCTCTCTCTCTCTCTCTCTCTCTCTCTCTCTCTCTCTCTCTCTCTCTCTCTCTCTCTCTCTCTCTNCTCTCTCTCTCTCTCTCTCTCTCTCTCTCTCTCTCTCTCTCTCTCTCTCTCTCTCTCTCTGTGTGTGTGTGTGTGTGTGTGTGTGTGCGTGTGCGCGTGCGCGTGCGCGTGTCTGTGTGTGCGTGCATATTGAAAGAGAGAGAGAGAGAGAGAGGAAAGGAAGACTGGATCAATATTCTGAACGCCGTCGAGGAAATGATGAAATGTGATAAAAAGCTGATGATGTCTAGCATGCCGATCGATTAATTACAGTAAATGGATACTCATGATGGCGTGCCGATGGATTAATTACAGTAAATGAGTGGAAGAAGGCTCGACTGAGAGGATTGGTTATAGAATTGGCAGATGCGATCATCAATTCTGCATTTGATTTCGACGCAGAGCTGATGAGCATTTGGTGTTGGCCCGCGAGATATGAAAGAGGAGAGATCCAACGGGTCCAACAATGTCCCCACTAGTAGTATGCAGATTGAGATTGGGGAAAAAAAATGATCCCAATAGAGTGACGGGATGAGCTCCACACGTGAAGAGATGACAGCATAGCAGCACACAAAGAACAAAAAGACAAATGGTACATGATGGAGAAGTGGCGCTCGAAGGATGTAGTAGTATCACACAATCGTTTCTTTTTTACTTTCTTCTTTTCACATAAAAAATCCTCTAGGGCGGGACTTGGGAGTGAGCACGGGCATGCCTCCATAAAGAGAAGATGCCTGAAGATTACTATCTCACTGGGATCTCTCTCTGTCCTGCCCCTCTCGCCATCTCTTCCTCCCTCACTCTTCCCGTTTTCTTGCTGTTCTCCCCTCTCTCCATCCCTCCTCTTTTCCCTTTCTTCCTTCTCCATGGCCTCCCTTCCGCCTGTCCGATTCCATTTTTCAACTTGTGCCCACCATCCCCCCTCCCCCCGATCTTCCCCCCACCAATCCACTTTTCCCCATCCTCCTCTCCTTGACTGTGTTTATCGCCTCTCTTTCACCGCCTCCTCCACGTCTTTCTCTTTGAGCTCCTACTCCTCTAGTGCTCGCCTGTAGCCCCTGCAGATCTGGTGTGTCCTGTCTTCTCTTCCTCTGTATGTCATCTTTTGCCCTTCATGGTCTCTCTCTCCATCACCTGCATATCCACATAAACCCTATCCCTCTCGTGATTCAGGCCCTCGTCAGTATCCTGCACCCTCCTTTCCTTACCTGTCCTTCTCCCTCCACACTGATCCCCTCTTCCTGCCTTGCAATCTGTTCGTGCCCACCTTGTCCGGATCTCTTACGCGACCTCCATTCCTTATCCTGTTGACTTGGCGTTCTTTCCCCTGCACTTCATCCGCTCCTACATCCTCATCCTGTTGACTTGGCGTTCTTTCCCCTGCACCTCATCCGCTCCTACATCCTCATCCTCACCCTCACTGGCCGGCATTCCGACCTTCTCCTCCTCTCGACCCCACATCCTGATCGCCCCCCTCCCAATCCGCGTTGCCCATCCCCTTCTTCGCAAGTGGGTCCTCGATCTACATCCCCTCCTCCCATTTAATTTAGTTTAGGACCCTCCTCGACATCTTCCTCCTCCACCACCTCCCATTCAATTGGCGAACTTACCCTGTGTGCTTCACCCTATCCCGCTGACTCTCCTTCTGCTTCCTCTGTCGTCGCATCCCATCCTGGCCGACGCCATCCCAACCCTCTCATCCTCCTGATCCCGCATCCTCAACCCCCCCTCAACCCTTCGTCCTTCTCCCACTACCACAGCCCCTCAAGATTTCGATGGAGACCTTCTCCTGCCTGCCTGACCAGGCGCTTGACCTCCCCATCGTGTTCCTTCTCCCCCAGCCTCTCCGCATTCACGGTATGATCCCCGCCTATTCCTTCCAATAGTAGTTGTGGAGGGATGCACTTCGCACGCGCCGGGCGAACCCATTATTTCGTTTTCGGACTGAGTGTGGACGGAACTCTCCACCTCTACACACACAACACCCCTGAGGGAGGGAAGGAGGGAAGGAGGGAGGGAGGGAGGGAGGGAGAGAGGAGGGGGGGGCGTACTTCGCCACGACGCGCGGAGTCACCTATTTCCTTTTGGGGCTGAGTGTGTATGGAACTCACCACGGATCGAGGCACAACACCGCAAGCACTCACAGGGATAGAGAGAAAGAGAGACTTCACTCGTGCACCCCCGTTTGCACGGATCTCGACTCTTCCGGAGTCTCGGCCCAGGTGAGTTAGTGCTAAGTGCGGCACCCGGGCGACCGTGGTGAACCGCACGTCTGGAGTCAATCTCTCGATTGGTGAGCGCTCCCGCCTAATAAAAAAAAAAAAAAAAAAAAGACACAGTTCCGTCGGCCTCCCCCGTTTCTTGTATGAATGGTCTGAGCGAGTATTATAAAGATGCGAAATTTGAAAGCAGTTCCGGGCTATGGGACAATGTAGGGAAGTATGGATTTCTTATGCTAGTACCTGGGTGAGTGAGTAACAAGGATTGGGTTCCCGAACGAAGGTGTGTTGATATTTTCTATGGGGAAGTATGTAGTAGTGTTGTCCTGGGCCTTGAACTAGGGACCTGTGGTTTTTTATTTTCCCAGTTTCGTTTTTTCGTTTTTT